GTTGGGCTCCGTGTCAACACGCTACGAGTTGCGTGTTGCGTATCGGGGCAGCTAAGGTGGGACTTTATCCTGTGGCCCTCGCAAGGCCTGTCGCCGACGGCCTCCCAGGACGGTGTCCGCGAAGTCTGGTTCTGCTGATGCTTACTGTGTGGTCCAGCTCTTATGCCGTCCGCGGCTAACTGTGGCCGTGGCCTTCAGCGGCTCTTACCGCTTCAGTGGCAGCGATCAACTCAGCTACAGGGGCGGACTGCTTCCAGTGATCCAAGGGTCCGATCAACCACCCTAGAAGCTCCCACCCTTTCATCACCACCAAACCCCATCCACATCTACGGATCCTGGGATCATCATGGTACTTGCCACTTGAGCCGCCTGAAGCTAAAAATGTGCACCGCCTACCGTTGAGATCAACATACCGTGCTCTAGCTCACCACCAAGCACTCGATGGCCTTGTAGTATAGGCAGAGTTGCGTGCGGATGATTCCGCATGACCGCGACCAGACCTCGCAGCCAGAAACAAGGGCAGTCCGTATGCTCTTCGCGAGCCTGGCTGAGCAGGTCATTGCTGAGGCCCTCCAGGCCTTCAATCCCCGAGCGCTCCCAGACCTGATGGATCTCGGAACAAGGTCTCCATAGGGGGCCCGCACGGCGGGCAGATCCCTACGGCCTGCTCCTCCAGTTGGCCATCTGGGATCAGGCCAGGAGGCTGGTCCCGAGGGCCGTGATCCTCCTCTTGGGCCTGCCCGGCCAGGTCCAGAAAGCGAGCATTTTCCTTGTCCTTCTCACGCAGCCCGCGAGCACAGCCTTGCGCCCGTGGTTCCACCTCTGGTGGCTCTCTGGCGCTTTGCAAGGTCAACTGCGGCCGTTGAGGGCAATGGAGGGCCGATAGCTTCGTCTCCGAAGCTTCTGCTGTCAGGCCAGAGCGCTCCTGCCATGATCATCTGGAAACGGCCAGCGGTATCACACGATCCCTCCATTGTCAGCCAAGCGAATCTCTGACGATTGGTGGTCAAATCGGGGCCGTGCTCCAAAACCTGCCCTTGAAATGTGCTGCCGCGAACTCCAAGGCCGAGGGCTTCATGCAGCACATACTCTGACATCATATGGTGGTCGACCCAGCACCAGCGCTCCCGCGCTGCGGCAAAGAAGCGCTAAGGGTGAGGACGGTGCAGCTGCTACCGAGGTTCCACCACCAGTTGAGCTTCAGAGGCAGCCTCGTCTGGGCCAAACGTAGAGACATTCTCGCCTCCTGGATCCAGGATCGCGTACGCCACGAAGACATCTCCTCTCTGTCCTCCTCCCTCTGTGTTGTCCTCCGTGTCATCCTTCTCCTCCTTTTTCCTCTCACGTTGCCGCGCAGCGCCCTGCTGCGATCCCAGATCCGCTGCGCCCCGCGACGCGCGCCCGCGGGCGCGCGCTGCTAGCGCCGAGGGCTGCACACACGCCGGTGTGCAGCTGTTCCGAAGAGAGGGAGGTAGGAGGGAGACCATGTACTACCATACCCCGAGGGAGACAGCAGAGGTAAGAGGGATGGGGCGTCGTTGAGCGGCGGGGCCACTCAAGGGATGTTGATACGCTTACGGATGACGTCGTACCTTGCTTGTAACGTTGTACATGGCGTGCCGTCCGTGCCTTGTCGCCAGCGCCGCAGACGAGGTATGGCAGTAGTCTGTGATGTACTCGGTGCACCTCGTCTGTTGCGCAGTAAGCGAAGTAGCGCAGTAACTTCTGGATTAACCAAACAAATACGTATGTGTACCCAGGGTGGTCCTCCTTGTAGACCAGAGCCCGTCATCTCCACGAGCACGCTTCGTATCGCCGTGGGTGGAATCAGTAGGTCTTTTTGTCTGGTGCCACTGGGGGCGGTATATCGTTCATGTTGTAGCCGATCAGTAGTAGTGTTGCCCGATGGGTTGAGTATCTCGATGTAGTACTTCGTGCCGCCAGCAAGGGTAGGCTGATAGTGTAAGTTCTGATATTTAAGTAACTCGTCAAGCCGTTCGTCCATGTAGTACACGTTCAGGTGCGTGAAGCCCTCGACAGAGTAGTTGGTATGCTCGCCCCGGGTGTACATCTTCGCGACGAAGGCCTTTTTGAGCGAGGCGATGGTTGGCGCCGCAGTAATGTCCAACGTCACGTAGCCTTCGCTTTCCGGTGGCAGCAGGAAGGTAGTACGCCAATCGCACAGCAGTAGACCAGGGGCGTGTTTCTGAAATCATGTAGTTCCGGATGGGCATCCAGTAGTTGTTGTTCAAAGGTATCGGCATATCCTGACCGTAGTGAGGGCCCTCGAGCCTGTCATCCGGGCAGACGTCCGCTGTACCTTCTTCACGTGTGACCTTGTAGATATCGATACGCTTGGCGTCCATGCACTTGTTGAAGTATGTACGTAGGGCCAGCCTTCAAGTCTTGAAGTTTGAAGTACGTCTTACCTGTCGATTCCCTTTGTAGCAGTGTAGTTCTGCACATGAGTTGGACCCATCTGATGTTGTAGTTCAGGTCGCGTAGCCAGATGCCAGCCTCGGCGTAGGCGCATTGTTCAGTATCCTGCTTTCCCTCTCCGTCTCCTCTCCTCCTCTGGGCCGCCCATGGCTGCCTGGTTATCCTCCTTCGGGGAGCGTCCGCGCCTTGCCTCTGCTTCTTGACCAGGGAACGCTACCCCCTCCGTCTCTTCTTCTTCTTTTTCTTAATATTCTTCCTCCTCCTCCTCCTCCTCTTCCTCCTCCTTACCATCATCATCAACCTCCTTCTCCTGTAACCGCCGCGGCCAGTCTCTCCGACGACCGCGCGCGCCGCGCACCCGTCTCGCCGGCCCGCCGCTGTGGGCCGCGCGCTGCCCGCCTGCCTTTGGTGCGGCGCCCCTCCTGCTGCCCCGCCCTCGCTCGCCGCCCCTCTGCCCCGCGCCGCCCCGGCGCCCCGTCCTGTGGACGCCGCGCCCCCGCGCTGCTCTGCCGCTCGCCGGCGCCTGCCCGCCGCGTCGCTGCCCCTGCGCCCAGGCGCCGCACCCGGCAGCCGTCTCGCCTTTTCCGAGCCTCGCTTTTGACGACTGGGCGCGCGCGCGGTCCTCCGCGCAGCGCGTCTGACGGAGTGGCGGGTCGCCCGCCCGCGACGACCGCCGAAAGGTGCGTGTGTCGGACTTGTCAACGCCATGGAGTTTCTTCTGACCGTTAGCGCCCACGTGTGTGTGCGTGTGTGTGTGGCTCGCCGACCTGCGTCTCGTACACTGTGCCTTCGACAATGCTCGATCGCAGTTTGCAGATTCATCTGCTGCCCGCGCTTGAGGACCCTCTGCGCCGCCGGCTTAACAGTGGCTCGCCGACCTGGCTGGTCCTCTCTGCGTGCTGCACGCGCGGCTCGCCCGCCCACTTCGTGTGTTTTTCCATGCGCGCGCTTGCTTGGCGCAGCCTCACCTCTCGCATCCTGGCGCGCAGGTCACCATCGGCAGCGCCAGGTGGGATTCGCGCTCGACCGCGCCTCGCTTGGCCTCTCGCTGTAGTGACACTACTCGGCCGCTGCATGGGCAAGTGTGCGTGTGTGTGTGTGTGTGGTGTGCGTGTGTGTGCGCGTGCGTGTGCGTGTGCGTGTGTGTGTGTGTGTGTTTGTGCGTGTGTGTGCGTGTGTGTGTGGGTTCCAGCGAGCGTGTAGTGACACTACTCGGCCGCTGCATGGGCAAGTGTGCGTGTGTGTGTGTGTGGTGTGCGTGTGTGTGTGCGCGTGCGTGTGTGCGTGTGTGTGTGTGTGTGTGTTTGTGCGTGTGTGTGTGTGTGCGTGTGTGTGTGTGTGGGTTCCAGCGAGCGTGCTCTGTCTCAGCGTCGGAAAAAACAACAACATGTATCACGGTCCCGCAGGCGATCGTAGAAGGAGGACTCGAGCGACCGGGGGTGGGGAACTTTGCACACCTCATCGGTCTGTCTGCAGTCTTTCTCGTCTCATCGGCACGTCAAGTGTGTGTGTGTGTGTGTGTGTGTGTGTGTGTGTGTGTGTGTGTGTGTGTGTGTGTGTGTGTGTGCGTGCGTGCGTGCGTGCGTGCGTGCGTGCGTGCGTGCGTGCGTGCGTGCGTGCGTGCGTGCGTGCGTGCGTGCGTGCGTGCGTGTGTGTGTGTGTGTGTGTGTGTGTGTGTGTGTGTGTGTGTGTGTGTGTGTGTGTGTGTGTGTGTGCGCGTGAGTGCGTGCGTGCGTGCGTGCGTGCGTGCGTGCGTGCGTGCGTGCGTGCGTGTGTGCGTGCGTGCGTGCGTGCGTGCGTGCGTGCGCGTGTGCTTGTGTGTGTATGTGTTTGTGTGCTTGTGTGTGTGCGTGCGTGCGTGCGTGCGTGCGTGCGCGTGTGTGTGTGTGTGTGTGTGTGTGTGTGTGTGTGTGTGTGTGTGTGCGTGCGCGTGCGCGTGTCAGAGGAGGGAAAAGTACCCATATTTCGGTTGGGTGCTAACTATACACCACCACCCCTTGCAAGGCACCTTCTGGGCCCTGGATCGGTCGACAGACTTCCTGGCTTGGGCCAGGAAGGCGTGTACACCAGTCCAGGGCCCACGATAGGCCTGGCCAGGGCTGGTGGCGGTGTATTGTTTGGAGTTCTCCTACCATGCCGCTACAATTCCCTCGTTTTCGCCTTCTTGGGCCTCCTGGGAGGCCCTCGTCGCCACCGCTGGATTCGCTTCGAAATCCTGGTCAGGGCGCCCCCCAGGAAAAAGGTTCGGGGGGTGACGGTATCGGTACCTTTTTGTCCCCCAGTTGTTTTGTTGTTTGTTTGTGTGTGTATGTGCCCATGGGATGCCGCTTCTGAGGGCCCAGCCGCGCGCGGTAGTTCCATGCTGCTTGCTCGACTTGCTCCGCCTCGTCGCTGCGCGCGAGGCAGCGATCGCCAAACAAACTGTGTGTGTGTGTATAAGCGTGCGCGTGTGTGTAAGTGTGTGTGTGTGTAAGTGTGCGAAAATGTGTGCAAGTGTGTGCAAGTGTCTGTAAGTGTGTGTGTGTGTGTGTTTACGTGTGCCTGTGTCCCTAAACATTTCTGCTCCAGCCATTTCGGCTCGCGCGTCGGCCTCCCCTGTGGCAGCCCAGCGCCGCGGACTGGCGCCTGCCCCCCCGCTGGCCGCCGGGGGCGAATATGGCGGACGCGCTGGAGGGTATGCGGGACGACGTCGTCCTCTACATCGGTTCTGGGGAGGACGTCGGATATTCAGGCCTCCCAGATAAGTGACGCAAAAGACTGGGCCGTCTGCGCCAACGTTGGCGCGCAGGCTGCTCGCGTAAGGTGGCGCGTAAGCGCCCTCGCTTCCAGCGTAGCGTACCGCGCTGGCGGCCCGCGTAAGCCACCGCGTAAGGTCGCTATGCCCTCTCGCGTAAAACCCGTGTTTCATTGTCGCTCGGATGGGGTTCGAGCAGATGTCGTCGGAGGATCGTGCCGCATCGCCGATGCATCGGCGATGCGGCTCGATGTGGAGCCCGATTTTCTCCACGCCGACAGCGCCGATGCATCGCCGACGGCGCCGATGCATCGGCGATGCGGCGCGATCCTCCGACCCCTTGGTGATTTTTTCCTAGACTCAACGCTGGTGTACAGTGCGCATTGTGATGCTAGCACGGCTTCCTCCTCCTCCTCCTCCTCCTCCTCCTCCTCCTCCTCCTCCTCCTCCTCCTCCTCCTCCTCCTCCTCCTCTCCCTCCTCCTCCTCCTCTTCCTCCTCCCCCTCCTTCCTCCTCCTCCTCCCCCCTCCCCCTCCCCCCCTCCTCGTCCTCCTCCTCCCCCTCCTCCTCCTCCTCCTCCTCCTCCTCCTCCTCCTGTCTGTCTGGGACCCTGTACGCTTTGAGCACGGCCCCGTTCCTGACTGACTTGGAATATTCACTTGAGGACTCTGGACTTGGCCTGGCGAGGGCCTGCGCGGACGATATTGGGGCTGTCTTGTTCGAGGCTCGCGGGCTCCAGGTGCTCTACCGTGTGATGACTACTACGAGGCTCCTAACTAGGCTGTGCCTCAAGGTCAGTAAATGCAAAGTCACCCCGCTGCACGCGACGTTCACCCCTGACCTTCTGGAAAGGACACGTGCTCTCCTTGGTCGGCTTGTTCCTGAATGGCAAGCTTTCGAGGTCGTGGCCCACCTGATGTACCTGGGCGTTCTCTTGGGGCCCGACGTCACGATCCAGATGCAGTGGGACGCTGCTCGGATGAAATTGAAGTTGCGTGCTAGGCTCCTCGGTTCTGGCTCCGCCCCCTTGGGAATCAATGGCGTGCTCTACCGATCGAGAGCCCTCCCTGTCTTGTCCTACCTGGCCCAGTTCTTCCCTCTGCCTCCCAGAATGGCCGCTTTCGAGCTCTCTGTGCTTACCCAGGTATTCCGTGCTCCTATGGGTACTCTGCCTGCCTCTGGCTGGGCCCAGCTCTCGTCGTGGGGTGGCCCCAAGATCCCGCTTGTGCGGCATACGTGTGCTGCCGCGCTGTCCCGAGCAGCCACCATTACGTTCAGCGAGCATACCCACATACGCTCTAACATTACTAACACTACTCTTTCATGGAATGATGATATTATGCAGGGACGATTTGATGATGCTTCCCTCGCGACCAGTCGTACCCGAGTGGATTGGATGTGTGACGCTGGACGGCACTGGCGGCTTCCACCCATCCTGCAGACCTACTCCTGGCTGCGTCAGGGCTCTGCGCGTGCTGGCTACTCCTCAGACATCCTGCGCTGTTGTACGTCTGCGATCGCCTCGGAGCTCTTGGTCTCGGGGCGTAAGCTCAAATTTCAAAGAGCAGCCACCACAGCACTATTCGAGCAGTTCGTCACGCCGTTCCCGTTGAGCGCGACTTTCGAGACCAGGCTGGCACGCTACTTTGCCATGTATGAACCCTTCCTACATCGGGTGCCTTGGGAGGCGATTCAGATGCTGCTGCAGCTGCTGCCCACGAGCTGGATCTTCCCTGTTATCAAGACGTGGGCATCTGCTTGGCTCACAAGTTATCGAATAAGTTACCATTCGGGGAAGAGGCGCTGTATCTTTGGGTGTAACGCTTGCGCAGACAGGCAGTGCCACTACATGCGATGCCACCGTCTGGTTCGTGCTGTCGGTCGCGCACTGGGTCGCTCTCTTCCTGCCTTTCTTCATGAGCGTTTGTGCCTGACGGCACCGTGTGTGGAACGAGTGGAGGAGCTGGTGGTGATGGACACTACGTATCACACTGTTCGTGAACGCAATTGGGTTTCCCCTGATGCTCTGAACTCTGCGACTCGAGCTGCGGTCAGAACTCTTCGAATGGCGTCTCCCACTGACCAGCTAGAAAAGAAATGGCAGCCGCCGCCGTCCTTCAGACCGACACCGCGCACGGTCACCGACGATCCTTCCACCTCCTCTGCTGACGACCCTGTTGTCGTCCATGCTGTCTCGGCTGCCGGTGATGGTGAGGACGACTACGACGCTGTCGCAGGCTTGGCCCCAGGACGGTCACCATGCTTGACTCCACGGCTTGTTCCCACGATGTCTAGCCCGAGCACTCCATCGACGCTGATCGCCACGCCCGAACGTGGTGGACATAGCGACGAGTGGGATGACAATGCTACTGGCAGAACGCAAAGTCCTGTGCACGGGTGCTCCTCGAGCCCGTTGCTGCAGGCTCAATCGTCGCCAATGTCGCTGGATTCTACTGGCAGAACGCAAAGTCCTGTGCACGGGTGCTCCTCGAGCCCGTTGTTGCAGGCTCAGTCGTCGCCAATGTCGCTGGATGTTACTGGCAGAACGCAAAGTCTTGTGCACGGGTGCTCTATGAGCTCGCTGGTGCAGGCTCAGACGTCGCCTATGACGCTTGATGTTACTGGCGGAACGCAAAGTCCTGTGCACGGGTGCTCCTCGAGCCCGTTGCTGCAGGCTCAGTCGTCACCAAAGTTGCTGGATGTTGGTGGAAATCTTGGCCTCTGCTCTTCAAGGATGAATGGTGAGCGTGGCGTCGAAAATAATCTGCCGCTTGTTTGCTCGCTCGGTCCCCTCATTCGCTGCGTGGCCGTCCGCCGCGCGCGTGACTCCCTGGCTGTCCTCTCGACCCGCCCTCTTGCTCCTGCTGATGTCTCTCCTGCTGCTGCCTCTCACCCTCGCTCTCGCACGCCGCCTCCCGCGGCCCTGATTGAAACACCGCTCTCCGTCCACATGCACATGAAGTTCGACATAGGTGGGCGCCCGCCACCCGCCCCGCCGCCTGCGGCCGCTGCCCCTGCTTCTCTTTCCTCCGCTCTGGTCGCTGGCGAAGCCAGTAGCTCGAGCTTGGAGAGGTGTGCTCAGCTGTTGAGCTGAGTGCAGTGGTCGGTCGGATGGATCTCTCCTCTACGCTGCGCTCCTCCTCCTCCTCCTCCTCCTCTTCCTCGTCCTCCCCCTCCCCTTCCTCCTCCTCCTCCCCCTCCCCCTCCTCCCCCTCCTCGTCCTCATCCTCCCCCTCCTCCTCCTCCTCCTCCTCCTCCTCCTCCTCCTCCTCCTCCTCCGATTCGGACCTCATCCAGGAGGCCTCTAAGATGGGCGCACAAGTGGCACTCCGCTGGGGTGGCCTGGAGTGCGGGCCGAAGGCCGCGGCGCCCGAGGCCAGATCTAAGATAATCCCGACTTATCCCAACCCGATGCTATCCTCGTCTTGGCTTCGCCCCCAGACCCTCGACGTCATGATTTTTCATGACGTCGACCCCCCACAGGTCTCGACCCATTCCCCGGGACCAGGTTTTCATCCTGGGTTGTTGTTGCCGACGGTCCCGAGGCCTGGCCCCCAGAGGCCGAACATCGCGAAAACGAGTATGTCATATGTCTTCTTGACTCGAGGGACTCTGGGTCTTAGGACGTCGTGCCGCTCTACCTGCTCCCCGAGAGGGACTTCGTGTACGTGGACTCCCTGGACTTCCTGGGGCGGGCTGCGGGGGGCCTCGGCCCCGCCGCGGGCCGCGAGCACCTGCTGTCCGCCCTGGCGAGGACGAGAGCTCGATTCCGACTCCTCGGGCTCGACTTCGATAGATTCGGATTCCAGAGGGGAGGAGGAGGAGAAGGAGGAGGATGAGGACGAGGAGGAGGAGGAGGAGGGATGGAGTGAGGGAGGGAGGGAGGGAGGAAGGGAGGAAGGGAGGAGGGGAGGACCAGCAGCAGCCAGAGGAGCGGCAGGAAGGGGACGAGGAGGAGGAGGAGGATGACCACGACCAGTTCGATTCGGCTTCGGATTCCGATCTGGATCTCGGTCTCACAATGGAGGCCTCACTGTCACTAGCCTGCCGGTTTCCGCCGATTCGACTCTTCCCGACCTGGATGCCGATTTCCGCCGCTCCGGTTCATCTCGATCGCCGCTGTGACTTCTCGAATCTGTTCTGGGCTCTCCCGGGATCGGCGTTACCCAAGCATGCTGATTCTATGTGTGCGTCGCTCCCCCAGGGGCAACGCGCGCTCCGAGAACTCTTACAGTACAAGCTCATTGGCGGGTGTTCTCTGGCCGTACCGCTCGGGGACGGGTCTACTTTAATATGGCAGTACTATAAGTTCGTGTCGGACTTAGATCGATTCCGACCCTAGAGGGGTGGAGGAGGAGGAGGAATAACAATAAGACTACTACTAATGATAATACTAGTACTACTAATACATATGATACTAAGAAGAAGAAGGAGGACTAATAATAATAAGAAGGAGGAGGGGAAGAGGAAGAAAAGGAGAGGGGAAGGAGGAGGAGGGAAGAGGAGGGAGGAGGAGGAGGAGGAGGAGGAGGAGGGAAGAGGAGAGGATAAGGAGAGGGAAAGAGATGAACTAGGAGGAGGAGGAGAAGGAGGAGTAAAAGGAGGAGGGGAAGAGGAGGAGGAGGAGGGATGGAGGGAGGGAGGGAAGAGGAGCAGCAGCAGCAGCAGGAGGATCCAAGTTCTCGATTCGGTCCTGGGTTCTCCTGGAGGATGCGGGACTTCGAGGTCGACCGCGGCGCGCTGCGCGCCCAGCGGCCGCTGGGCGAGGGCGGGCGGCAGACCGTTCGGGTGACGCCAACCTAGGGCGCCCCTGGCCCAGCCCCGGGATCCTGGCGTCTGAAGGTTTTCGAGCCGGGCGTTTTCGAGGAGGAGGAGGAGGAGGAGAAAACAGGAGGAGCAGGAGGATGAGGGTGAGGGGGAGGAGCAGGAGGAGGAGGAGGAGGAGGAGGAGGAGAGGAGGAGAGAAAGAGAAGAGGAGGGAGGAGGAGGAGGAGGAGGAGAGAGGAGGAGGAGGAGGAGGAGGAGGAGGAGGAGGAGGAGGAGGAGGAGCAGGCGGAGGAGGAGAAGGAGGAGGAGGAGGAGGAGGAGCAGGAGGATTTTGACATCCACTACTGCCAAGCCACACTCTCTGGGGGGACGGCGCCTCCCCCCAGAGGAGGGGGCAGGGCTGGGTGGCGCCTCCTGCCACTTTCGCCACCAGCCCTGCCCCACCGCTGACGTCACGGCAACTGCGGGGGGACTCACGCCGAGACGGCTGCCAGTCCCGCAGTGCCGTGGAAACAGCGGGAAAAAACTAACGCCACGGCGCGGGCTCCACACGAAGCTCGGATTTCGACGGATGCCGACCCTTACAAATAGCATTGAAAGTCTCGGTCTTCTTACGCGTCGGTGGCTGACATCGCTGAACTAAGCCCCGAATATAACCCAGCGAGCCGTAGGAATGACACCTAAGACAGACAGTCAGGAAGGAGCCATCAGAAACGAGCAGCGATATGGCATGGTGCCCGAGCGCTCTCAGGGATGGGCCGTCCAGCTTCGATTCATTCGAGCAAGAGCCTGGCGGCGGTATCGAGCGTCCTTTGCGCACGATCAAACAGTGCTGGCAACGCCAGAAAGCAAATCCGAAATACCCCTCGCGCTTCTCCCACGTCCAAGCATGGGGCCGCGAGGGAGGAGCAGGTTTGACGGGAGGGCGCTCCCAGTAGCAGTCGGTCAAATCCAACGGCGGCCACGCTGGCAGCAGCTTCGCTGCGAGCTTGCAGACCGCCTTGGCTATCTTAATTTGCCATTGCAGCCGGCTCTCCTCGGCCTCCGACGGACGGGGGTGGAGTCCAGCACCCTGCTTGGCGGCACGATCCGCCAGGTCATTCCCGAGGCGCCTCCAGCGCTCCAGGGAGGATATGCCCGCTTCGTGCGGGTCTTTGTGGGCATCGACTTTGACGACCGACTGGACCGACGACACCCCAAGACGATACATCATCATCAGCCCCGCGAACGGGCGGCGATAGCTCAGCTGCGAACTTTTGTCCCCAGCACAAGCAGAGACCACGTTCAAGCAGTCGCTATAAAAAGTTGACAGGCGAGGCTGCTCCTGCCCAGGATGTCGGTCCTCGCCGATCTCGGCGACGGGCCCTTGGCTCGCGTCACTCATGACCTCCACTCCGCCGCGGGCCAGGGCAGCGAATTCGGCACACTGGGAGGTCTGGAGGAAAGGGGCGTGGATAGGCCCATAGATGTGGCACACCCTGTCACCCGAAGAGTCGACCTTAACGAGCCCATATCCAGCACGCGAGAGCTCGGCAATCTCATGACGGAAGCAGCTACCGTCAAGGAAGATATCGCCATCAAAGGTGCCACCGTCCTGGGGAGGCTCAACCCATTCACATCTGGCCTGAAATTCACAATCCAAAAACTCCCGAGACGGCCGAGGGAAGACGTCTCCAGGATGCGGAAAGACACCCCTGGTGAAAAGCAGAGCAACTTCGGGGTCGGCCAGGTCCGCGTCAGCGGCTTCATCAATCAAGCTCTGTGAAACGGTCTCCTCTCTCGTGGAGGCGACGGCAGGGCAGCGCCAGAGTCGATGGAAGGTCGAATCGCCAGTGAAACCGCAGAGCTCGCATCGATCCTCGAGACCGCGGTGCCCGACCTTGATCGCCCGATCGCGAGTCCAGAGCGCTTCGCAAGTCAAGCTCCTGATCGATCCACGTTCCTGGGAGGTGACCCGCGACGATCGGAGGCGAGATCGGACGATGTCGAAACACAATCGATCGCAAGACAGGCCCTGCTTAGCCGAAGCCTCACGCTCCAGGGCACGCCGACAGGCCTGCTGCAACATTTTCTTCAGCATAGCTGGGGACACGCTCGTCAGCAGGTTCCGCCGCCGCGAACACGGTCTCCCAGCTGAGTCTCAACTGGTCCCAAGGGATCGTGTAGGGATAGGCACCCGTCTGGAGCGCCCATATTTCTTTGGCGTACCTAACCACGGGGGCCACAGCCCCCACCCAAGTCGGGTCATCGTTCAGAAGGAGGGTGGCGGTCAGCGAACGCCCCCCCGCACCAGGTCTCAGAACGCGCCCCGCTTCACGACGGATCTTCGCCAACTCGAAGTCCGAAAGCCCATGGATCTCCGCCCCGTAGAGAACCCCAGGCAAAGTCCCAGAGACCCAAATACGCTTACAATACTTACCGAGGCTGCAACTCAGCTTGACGAACTTCTTTGTAGAAGCTTTCAGGGTGTCCAGGAGGAGCAGGAGGAGTAAGAGGAGGAAGAGGAGGAGGAGGAGGCGGAGGAGGAAGAGGAGGAGGAGGAGGAGCGGAGGAGGTGGGGCGGAAGGGGGCAACTTCACGAGGGCGTCGCGTCGCGTTTTCGTCGCAAACGGCGTGTTCGCTGGATTTCGGGCCCCGCGACCCTCACAGATCGATCTGGCTAGGGAAATACCGAACACAGGTGGGGTCTAGAGCTTCGGTCGTGATCTTTTACGATGCTGCACTGGCGCCTCATTTTTTTCTAGCCGGGCGTTCTCGCTGGTTTCGGGCCCTGGGACCCTCACAGATCGATCCAGAAAATGTCGAACAAAGGTGGGGTCTAGGGTTACGGTCGTGATTCTTTAAACCATGCTGCATTTTTTATTGCTCGATCGGATCTCAGGGAAGGTGATCGGCCTGCAGACGGCTCCGGGGAATGGCTTTCGGGTTCCAAGTTGATCGTGTTTTCGCTCGTTTTCATTGGCTGTCGGCGGCTTTCCAGCCTCGGGGTGCTCTCCATCGGCTGCGCCTCGCGGAGAGGCGTAAAAGGGGGTGCCAGGATCATCCCAAACGGCCGCCAGAAGCCTAGGCATGACCAGAAGGCCACGGGGCAACGACATGGGGGGATGGGCTCGGGGGCCCCAGGAGCTCCGAAATTGCGCGAAGGTCAGACCTCTGACGTTTCTATCGTTCCAATACGGGGTCCCCGCAAGTCCGGATCACTTCCCCATGGGCCGGCTTTGCGTCCCGAGTCCTTTTGTGACGGTCCCAGGGCCTGGCGAGGGCCCCAAGACTCAAAGAACCACGAAAAAGCCCCGCTTCCCGGCGCGAAAAGTTGCAATCGGGCCGCAAAAGCACGACCACAGCCCTACAGCTTATCTTTCCGCGCCATTTCTCGAGCCGGATCGATCTCTGAGGGTCCCTGGGCCCGAAACCAAGCGAAAGCGCCCCACTCGAACAAAAGTGAGACGCCAGGATCTCAGGGGCCGCCTTGATTTTTTCAATGCGGAGCCCCTGGAAGTCTGGACCACTTCCCCGTGGCCAGCTTTGAGTCCCGAGTCGTATCTTGACGGTTCTGGGGCCAGGCGAGGGCCCCCAGACGCCGACAATTACGACCAATTTCCGCCGTGATTTTTTCATGGCGTTGCTTCTCGGGCCAGAACTCGGCTCTCCCGCGGCCGTTCGGGACGATCCGGGTACCCCGGGCTGCTCTCTTGCAGCTGCGCCTGGCCTCAGCTGCAAGAGAGCAGCCCGAGGCGGGCAGACCGCCGAGAACCCGGAAACTCGTCCGGAAGCCTCGGCCCTTGTCTTGTTCAGCGCGTTGGAGGTCTGGGGCCGCTCCTGGCAGCACCCGGGCCGTGCAGTTCGTCCACGACGCCTGGTCCCCAGGGTGGAGGCCTGCGTGGCTGGGGCGGTGCCGCTCGCTGTACCTGTGCGGCTGGGGCCCGTTGGCGGGCGCAGGCTTCAGCGCAGAGGCGCGGGGCGCCGACCCCACCGTGTGCGTTTTCACATGCTCGCCTCCAGGGTGCCCTGGGTTTCTTGGGTTTCGATGGTGTTGCAATGGACAGCGTGACGTTCCCGAGCCGAAAATCCATGGACGTCCTGGGGCCTCAGGGTTGGGTCGGGCCCCCACTGCAGCGGGGCTCCCCAGAGTTCTAGACTCAGACAGCCCTAGGTTCGCCAGGGACGGGTTCTCCCCCCGAAGTCAACCCACACCCATTTTAAAGCACTTATCGGAACCCTTCGGAACTCCTCCCGGAGCCCTTCGGGGGAGGTTTCCAGAGTGTTTTGGGAAAGTTTCGGTCGTTTCGGGGGGAGACTCATCATGCCACCCAGTCCCTGCCGAGCCCTGGGCTTTCTAGTTGAATAGACCACGTCCCTGGTACCACGTTTGCATCCTGGATTCATCTAGGATGCAGAAGAGGCAGAAGGCGACAGGGCCCAGCGAAGGCCACCCGAAGACAGAACTAGCGAAAGATCTTCAGTCGTATTTTTTCTTCCCGATGGCAGCATGCCAAAGGCCGCAAAAAGCCGAACCCTGGAGATCACGACCCCTTCCGTGGGGGTAGTTTTTTTTTGTCCTGAATCCGTTGTGATGGCCCCCGGGTCCCGAGGACGGGCCTCGGAAGCCAAAGTCGAGGAAAGGCGCCTGATTCGAAGCATCAGATCGTTGGAGATTTGGGGTCGGGGGCTCGCAGTAGAGGGGGGGGCTGTCCCAAGGTGGGCTCGAAGTCGTGGTCTCTTTGGTGGGGAGCGAGAAAGTGGGAGGGAGGATCAGCAACGACGACGACGACGACGACGATTCTGTTTACCTCATTGAGGGTGCGTTTACTCAACGGCTTCGCTTGTCGGGGCGCTCAATATGAAGTGTGAGGGTGAACTTTCTGCTTCCTACTTCGGCGCGTCCGCCCTCCTCGGCCCCGCGCAGTGGCCGCCGCGTGGGTCGTCGTCGGCCGCTCGCCCGCTTGGCGTCGGCCGCTCGCCGCTCGCCCCTCGAGGGGTCGAGCCGGGCGAGGCCTGGGGCTGGGCCCAGCTCTTTGCTCTCCGCGGCCCTGCGCCCTCCCGCGCGCCTGTTGGAGGCGTGGCTGGGCCCCCCGATGGGGGGGGTGGCCGCCATCGAAGCACAAACCACTGCACAAGCATCCTCCTTCGGAGGTTCGCACAGGTTTCCTGGATCGGCGTTGGGCCCCTCTGGCGGCGCCTGCGGCGCCGGTCGGGGCGAGGCACGACGGTCGGTTTGGGGCTGTTTTCCGCCCCTGGGGGCCCTCGCCGGGCCCCCAGGGGCCGTCACGTTTGAAGGGCTGGTCCCGGAGAGAGGGCCGAGACCTCCGAGGGTCCACGTTGCGACGGGGGTCTGGGGAGGATCGGACGGGGCCAGGAGGAGGATCAGTCCGTTCCAGAGGGTTCCCGAACGCTCTCGGAGCGTTCCAGAACGCTCTCAGAAGGCCGCCGCGCCCGAGACATCCTCCAGCGCCGCCGGATCTCAGAGATTCTCGACTTACCCTCACCCGATGTCATCCTCGCCCTAGCTTCGTCTTCGGACTGGGGAGGCGGGACCAGCACAGTCAAGGGAGGAAAAACCACCCCGACCCCGACAATTGGCGTTTACTATACGGCCCTGGGCGTTTACTGAACAGCCCTGCCACGTTCGATGTTTTCCATGGGTGAGCTTACTGAGCGGCTTCGCTTGTCGGGGTGCTTCTTATGGGGGTGGAGTTTCTGCTCTCCGCAGAAGGGCCTCCGAGAGCTTGCGCTTCTGCCAATGGTTTTTGCTCCTCCGCGCCAGGAGCCCAGCGAGGAGCGGCGCGGGCAGGCCTTCGCGGGCAACCTCGATCGGTGGGCGGGGAGGGCACCAGCACTTTGCAGCTGGGCACCGGCCCTGGCCGAGCTGGTGCTGTCTCGGGATGGGCGTGCGCGCCTTCATGCCTACAGTCGGACCGAGGTAGAAGATCGAGGTCGGTTCGAGGAGGGTGCCCTAATGTCCTTCGTGCTTGTGGGCTGTTCTTTTTCCCTACCTAGGCTTTGCCTAGAAGGGTTCTTACTCTCTGGGCTTAAAGGGGCCGGGCAGTGGGAAGCGCCCCGGGCGGTTCCCCCAGTATCCGCCCCGCGGTTCCCCCAGCTACGTCCCCTTAGCGAGGCTTTGCTTATCTCATCTTAGCTTAGCCTAGCTTAACTTAGCTTAGTTTAGCGTACCTTAGATTAGCCTAGCCTAGCTGGGCTTAGCTTAGCTTAGCTTCGCCTAGCCTAACTTAGCTTAGCTCAGCTTAGCTGAGCTTAGCGCAGCGCAGCATTAGCATAGCATAGCATAGCATAGCGTAGCACAGTATAGCATACCATGCCATCGCATAACATAGCATAGCGCAGCATAGCATAGCGCAGTATAGCATAGCATAACATAGCATAGCATAGCAAACCATAGTGCAGCATACCATATCATAGCATAGCTTTGCATAGCACAGCTCAGCATAGCATAGCATAGCCTAGCATAGCATAGTATAGCGCGGCATGTCATAGCATAGCATAGCATAGCGCAGCATAGCACAGCATAGCATAACACAGCGCAGCATATCATAGCATAGCATAGCATAGCGCGGCACAACATGTCATATCATAGCCTAGCATAGCATAGCATAGCGCGGCATATCATAGCATAGTATAGCATGGCGCAGCATAGCATAGCATAGCATAGCATCGCATCGCATAGCGCAGCATAGCATAGCATAGCCTAGCGCAGCATAGCGCAGCATAGCGCAACATAGCGCAGCATTGCATAGCATAGCATAACATAACATAGCATAGCATAGCATAGCATAGCACAGTAAGGAGGAGGACGGCGTTCACCGTTACTACTAGTATTGCTATCCTCGGGGCTCCAACTCCTAGGTAGGGTCGTTCTGGGATAATGCATCCTGGTGGAGGGTACCCTCGAATGCTCTTCATTTTGGCCGGCGGAGGGCTTCATGTTCTTGAAGGATGCTCTTCTGTCCTGGGTTCGACTCTACAAGGACACCCACCTCCGCGCTGTGCACGCCCTCCGGCACTCCTCCTGCCCAAGCGCTGCGTGTTCTGATCCTGCTCCTGCCGCCCCTCGCGCGCTCCTTCTCCTCCTCCTCCTCCTCCTCCTCCTGCTTCTTCTCTCTCGCTCCTCCTCCTGCTTCTTCTCCTCCTCCCGTTCCTCCTCCTCCTCCTCCTCCTCCTCCTTCTCCAACCCCCGCTCCTCCTCCTGCTCCTCCTCCTCCTCCTGCTCCTGCTCCTCTTCCTCCTCCTCCTCCTCCTCCTCCTCCCGCTCCTCGCTGCTGCGACAGAGACAGTGTACCTTCCTGCCCAAGGACCGGTGCAGGTGTACACCGCATGGGCTCCCGGAGGGCACCGACTATACATCTGCACCGATCCTGGCCGGGCCGATCCAGGCTTGGGATCTGCGTGTATGCCCTTCTGCCCAAGCCAGGAGGGCGTACAAACCGATCGAGGGCGCAGATTGAGCCTGGCCAGTATCGGTGCAGGTGTTGCTGCTGCAACGAAGCATACAGGCCGAACAACCGATGGGCACAGAACGCCCAAATGAGGGAGCATTTTCATGCAGACATTGACCTGAGGATACACCGCTGCAATGCGTTGGAGAAACAGGAACGCCGAATATACAGGCTTTGTCCTTTACAGGAAAGGCCCAAGCGCCCTCCTAGGCGGCTCGCCTACGCCATCCTCCCAGCGTTGGTTCATAGTTGGCGTCCTCCGAGGTGGCTCGCCCACGTGGGCTGGCGGCCAGCGACGGTCTTCGGCTGCCACTCGGCCTGGGCCGCGGGCTGCGCCCGCGCCGCTGGCGCCGAGTTCCGGGACGTGCCGCACTACCAATTCCTGCTCCTCCCCGAGGCGCTCGGGTGTTGCCACCTCCCAGATCTATGACGAGATGCCGGCCTCGCGCAGAGGGTGGTAGGGGGAGGGGGATAGCTTCTTAGAAGCGCCATTGCTTGTCATAAGGCGCGGGGCTTGTCTGTAGATGTAGGGCTCGCGCCTTCTAAGAAGCAGCTTCCTTCTCAGAAGCCGTTTCCCCTCCCCCAGCCTCATTGTGCTTGCCGCCGAATATGATTTCCTCAGTCCGGGCGTTCTCCTCGATTTCGCCCTCTGGGAGCCCCTTTTGGGGGGGCCCCGGACCATCAGACTTGCATCCGGGATGAAAGACTACGCCCCCAGGGAAGCGGTGGGGAGAGCTCTGCGGCTGCGGATTGAACAAACCAGATCGGCGAGTCTCAGGGTTCTGGTGTTGCCACGTTCCCAGTCCTCCAACAATCAGGACGAGTTTTTTTGTCGTTTTCGGACTCTGGGGGCCCTCGCTGGGCCCCAGGACCGTCAACAGAACGACTGAGGATGACAAGCTGGTCCCCGGGGAAGTTGTCCAGAGCTCCAGGGGCCCCGCGTGAAGAAGATGAGACGTCGGAGGTCAGGGTAAGAGTGATCCCAGTGACCTTCGCTGCTGGCCCACTGGGCCCCCCCCCGATCGCTGAATGCGATGCGGTAGCAGCGGCCTGCGCGCTTGGGGTTGCCCCGCCCCGCGCCCACTCCCCGAATGCCGCGCACCAAATGTCACCCTTGCCTATGTAGGGTCGCTCTCGCGTGTGGTCGAGGCATGCGTCCCTGGCCCAGGTTGCCCCCAGGCCTCCCAGGCCTCGCATCAGGGGTCTCCCGTTCGCCCCTCGCGAGGGCCCCTCGCGAGAGCCACCCCAGGGGCTGCAGAGTGGCAGGAGGAGGCGGGGAGCACCTGTGTGCGCCAGAGAGACCCTGGCATCCACCGATCTGATTTTTTCAATCCGCGGTCCCAGAGGTCATCCCAGACCCCCTCGAGTCATGAGAAAATCACGACGGCCCGTCTTTCGCTATTTTCGGCCTTTGGAGGCCCTCGCTGGGCCTCGGGACCGTCCAAAACGACTCACAGGATGAAAAGCTAGTCCCGGGGAATGGGTCGAGACCTCAGGGGGTATGACGCCGGTGGTCTGTGGAGGTCATGACCGCTTTCCCAGAGGTAGTTCTTCGTCCTGGATCCACTGTTGATTGTCCCAGGGCCCAGTAATGGGCCCCAGGGTCTGAAATCGAGGGAAACGCTTGTATTGAAAAAAACATGTCGTCGGAGATTTGGGGACACCTCTGGCTTAAGGAGGGGCCGCCACGACCGCGCGAAACGCGGTTCGCGATTCCTTATCTTCTCCCCCACAGGGGAGGGGCGGGAGCGGTGCAGCAGCGTAAAGTTCTTCGCGCTTCGCGAAACGCGAAGTGCGAAGCGAGAAAATACCCTGAGAGCCAGCGCTGCGAATCCATACAACATCGCAGAATACACGACCAGAACACTAGACTCCATCTTTCTGCTGCATTTTTCGAGCCAGATCAATCTGTGAGGGTCCCAGGGCCCGAAGCTGGGCGACGTCGCCCGCTGTGAGAAACCTGCAGCGCAAAGATCTCAGGGGGTGGCTGCCTCCGTGGCTTCTCCCCGAGGCGTGGCAGTGGAGGTACAGCTTCGCGTGGGCTAGCCTGAAGTTTGGCCCCGGGTTCCGCCGCCTCGCGGGCGACGAGCTCCTGCGGTTGCTGCCGGGCCGCGGGGTGGCCCTGCGCGAGTACCAGGGCTCGGCGGACTTCGACTCCGCCTCCAGCCGGAGGGCGCCAGCCACCCACAGACCCCCCCGCGTCGTGAAAGACGCTTGGCTGCCTCGATGCGCCCGCTTTGAAACGCAACACGTGCCGTGCTCAAAGCGTCCTTGTGAAAGCACGCCGCGTGTTGGCTCAGCGTATTGGCCCACGTTTTGGCGAACGTACCGCGTCACACCTCCGTTTTCAGTCTGCGTTCTCAGCTCCGTGTCGACACGCTACGTGTTGCGCGTTGCGTATGGGGGCAGCGGAGGAGAGAAGACCACGGACGTCTTTCGCCATGTTCGGCCTCTGGGGGCCCTCGCTGGGCCCCGGGACCGCCAAGACACGAGTCAGGTTGAAGCGCCGGTCCCGAGGAGTGGATCGAGACCTCCGGGAGGGAGTCCACGCTGTGCAGAAGTCATGACGTCGGGGGTTTTGGTATTCACCTGCCCCGATCGTGGCCAGGCCAATCTTGGGCCAAGCGTCGATGTACAAGCCCTCCTATAGCCAGGCCAGAGTGGGCCTAGCCAGGGTCGGTGCATCGGCGGCGGAATCCGCACCCTACCCCCTTCCCTCGCCGATCAACGGCTCAGGCAATTCGATGTGCGACGGGGGTAGGGCTCGGAATTTGTGGAACACGTAGCGGAATCCGAACCTTACCTCAGGAGAGTCGATGGTTGGTGGGGGTACGGTCGGATCGAGGTATAAGATCGAGGTCGGTTCGGGGAGGGGAACCTCGTGTTCTTCGTGTTCGTAGGTGTTATTGTGCATCCTGGGGGTGGGTATGCCCGCGAGTGTTCTTCGGTCTGGCCGGCGGAAAGTCTCTTGTTCTTGAGGGATGTCATTCTGTCCTAGGTTCAGCCGTATGCTTCGGGTGTCGCCACCTATCGGTGTAGGCCCGGGCAGGGCCGGACGAGGATAAATGCGTTGCAGAGCGTTCCAGAACGCTCTCAGGGCGTTCCGGAACGCTCGGAGAAGGCCGCGGCGCCCGAGACATCCTCCAGAGCCGCGGGATCTCAGACATTTTCGATGTACCCTGACCCGATTTGATCCTCTGGCTTCGTCTCAGTACTCTGTGGGCGCCCTCCGCTCGGCAGCTCCTCCTCTGCGGCGGCGCGCAGGGTTGGGCGCAGGGCGAGGGGCGGCTGGCTCTTCGGAAGGCGCGAGGGGCGAAGGCTGGCGCCCCCCCCGTGCGGTGGGGGCAGCCCCGCCCTCTCTCGAGGCCGCCCTGCCCCCCTTCCGAGGAGGCCCTGCCCCCAAGCCGAGGAGGGCCGCGCAGCCCCGTCGCCCAAGGGGGGGCGGGAGCGCAGCGGGAGGCGAGGGCTGGCGGCCGTCCGACCGGGGGGCAGCCCCGCACCTTCTCGAGGCCGCCCTGCCCCTCCGAGGGGGGCCCTGCCCCGAAGCCAAGGAGGGCCGCCCGCTCCCGCCGCCCCACCATGCCCCCGCCCCCGCAACAGAGAGAGAGAGCGAGAGAGCCCATCCCGGGCCGGCAGGCTCCAGCCCAGACCGACAGGCTCCGTCGCCGGAAGCGGCGTTTGAGAGGGGGCTGGGCCCCGACGGGAGGCACCACCCCCGAAGCACGAGAACCCCACGCGCCAGGCCCCAACCCACGGACCACCAACCCCAAGCCCCCCCCCCCCCAAAGCCCCCGAACCCCAAGCCCCAAGCCCTGAGACCGCAAACCCCGTGCCCGCAGCCCCAAACCTCCAGCACCAGCCCCCAAACACCGAAACCCAAAGACCCCAAACCCCCAAACTCAAAGCCCCAAACACCAAACGCCAAACACCAAACACCAAACACCAATCCCCCCTCCCCCCTCCGCCCGCCCTGCTCCCCCTCGCCCGCCCCGCCCCCGCCCGGCCCTGCCCGCCCCGCCCTGCCCCCCGCACCGCCCCCTCGGCGCCCCTCCCCCCCAAGCCAAGACGCACCGACAATCTCGCAGCAACGTGCAGCCCCAGGTCGAGCCACGTATCACTCCGTGCCTTCGCCGAGCAAGCGCTGGCTCAACCCCAGAGGTGTCGCCTTCGCGCCGCGATGATGCAGTGACCCCGCCCTCGCGCCTCCCCCCCGCCCGCCCCTCGTCTATTGTCTTTGCTTTTGTTGCAGCATGCTTTGGGCATTGCTTGGTGGCGGGGTCGTGCGGCGGCGGCGAGAGGGGGGCCGAGGAGGGGAGGAGGCGAGGAGGAGGGGCGAGGACGGGCGGGGAGGAGGAGGAGGAGGAGGAGGAGGAGGAGGAGGAGGAGGAGGAGGAGGATGAGGAGGAGGAGAGGAGGAGGAGGAGGAGGAGGAGGAGGAGGAGGAGGGGGGCGACGAGAGCCATCCCTGCGCGCCGCCCGCCCTCCGTGGGCCCGAAGCCCGCCGCCGCGGCGGGCGCCGCTGCTTGCGCGGAGGACGCCGCGGCGGGGTCGCCTCTGCCGCAGAGCCCCGATGCGCGGGGCGCCGCCGCCGCCGCAGAGGCCTCCGCCGCCGCCGGCGCGGCGGCGGAGGGCCCTGGCGCGGCGGGGCCGCGGGGAGGCGGCGGCGGGGCGAAGGAAGGCCGAAGGGGGGAGGGCCGCGGCGATCTCCCCTGAGATCCTGGCGTCTCAGCTTTTTCGGGCTGGGCGTTTTTTCTCGGCCGGCGTCGGGGTGCGGGCCCCTCGCACATCGATGCGGCTCGGAAAGTAGCGCAGGAAGATGGGGCCCAGGGTCCCGGTCATGATTTCTAGCGATGCTTCAATTTTTCCGCGCCCTCAGATCTCAGGGTCGGCCGCGGCGCCGGCGCCCCTTTCCCGCGGGGGGCTGGGCAGGTATGCCTTGCTGGTGAGGTCCGAGGGCCGCGTGGCGAGTCAGTGTGGACCCAGGGTTACCGCACGATTTTGGGGCTCGGGTCGTTCTCCGAGGATGTCTCGGGCGTCTTGGGCCTCCGAGGTCCCCAGACCCTGCGGTGACGGACCGTGCAGTGAGGTCTCTTGGGATTTCGAGGTCACCGCACGGTCTGTCACCGCACCGTTTTGGGACCCCCAAGATGAAAGAGAGTCTCGAGGGAGAACAAGCCACAGAGGCATGTCAAGCTTTAGAGGTCCGCATGGACTTCTCGGATTGTCGCTGGGCCCCCCTGGCGGCGCCCCCGGCACCGCCGCTGGCCAGCTCCGCGCTCCAGGGAGTCGGTGGTGCAGCGCCGATACAAATCCGATCGGACCTCGAGCAACTAGTATGAATGCGCATGTCTTTTTTTCCAGAGTCGCTCCAGAGCGTTCAGGGCTGGACCTAAACGCTGTTTCGCTGGACGTCGGCGGTGTTTTGTTGTTCGTTTTGGGGAGGCAGGTGCAGGAAAACAGGTAGAGCAAAACGAACAACAAAACGATCACAAAACGAAAAACAAAGTTCAGGTCCAGCCCTGAGAGCGTTCCCGAACGCCCTGAGAGCTTTCTGGAGTGCTCTGAACCAGCTGCAGCGCCCGATTTGCATCCTCCAGCAGCCCCGCTAGGCCTCGGAGATTCCTGGCTTACCTTCATCCAGATGTAATGTTCACCCTGCCTGTCTTGCGAGAAGGGGGGGGGGCGGGCTCGTGCCCGTGCTCGTCCTAGACACCCCCTCTTTCTCCCGCCTCTGGCCCCCCTCCCCTCCTCGTCCTCGGCGGGGAAGTGGGAGCAGGGAGGAGGGAGGACGTGGAGAAGGGGGGGGGAGGGGAGGGGGGCGGGACAGGGGACCGAGAGCAGCTCGAGCAGGGGACGGAGCCGAGGAAACGCAGCCATGGATGAAGGCGCGCGGACTAACGACGGGACCCGTTTCCAAACGACATCGACGCGTTCTGTCGCCAAATCGCGCGGCACTGCCCTCATGCTTCGGGGGGGGGGACGTTTCCCGATCCACGGATCCCTAATCCATGTTACCTCGCGCCCCAAGGAGGAGGAGGAGGAGGAGGAGGAGGAGGAGGAGGAGCAGGAGGAGGAGGAGCAGGAGGAGGAGGAGGAGGAGGAGGAGGAGGACGACGACGACGACGAGGACGAGGAGGAGGAGGACGAGGACGAGGAGGAGGAGGAGGAGGAGGAGGAGGCGGAACAGGAGAAGGACAAAAGCGCGGCAGAGCAGACCAGGGCCGAGGACCACTCCAGCCTGGCAAGTTCTGGGGCCGACGACGTCCCAAAAAACCCCATCCCATCGGCCGTCGAGGGCCGAGGGCATCCACTTCGCACTTCGGCCCACCCTCTCGGGCCCCCCTCGCTTCACAGGGCCCGAGCCCGCTGCGTCCGCGGCCGGCGGTGGCGGCGACGGCGCCACGGCTCCCAAGCGCCTCAGGCGCATCGGCAGCGAGGGCCCCGGGTGGGAAAAAAGGTGATCGCGGAGGTCGCGGAGCGGGGGGGGGGCACTCCAGGGAGAGTGACGGAGAGGGGAGGGGGGAGGTGTGAAGGGCCCCTCCCTCCCGCCGCCCCCTTCCCAGCCCTCCCCCCTTTCCCATTCCTCGCCCACCCTCCTCCCCCTTCCCCCCTCCCTCCGCCTCCACCCCCTCCAGAAGGGGTGCGGACGGAGGGAGGGGGGAAGGGGGAGGGTGAGCGAGAGAGAAGGGGGAAAAGGGTGAGCGGGGTGCGGGGGAGGATAAGAGGGAGGGGGGGGCGCGAGGTGGAGGCGAAGGGAGAGGAGGGGAGAGGGAGGGGATGAGGGGAGGGGGGAGGCTGGAGGGCTGCAGCAAGTTTCGCCCTCGCCTCGCTGTTGCTGAAGCGCCTCAGGAATTTGCACAGCTGCTGACGACACAAAGGGAGGAGCACGACACCAGGAGACGAAGGGGATGGGGAGGAGCCCGTCCTCGTCTTTCCTCCACCACCTCCTCGTCCTTCTCTTCCTTCTGCTCTCTGCTTCCTGTGCTGCTCCTCTTCCTCCTTCCCTTCCTATATGATTCCTCCTTCTGTCCGTCCCTTTCCTCATCCTCGTCGTCCATCTCCTTGTCCTCTCCTTCTCCCGCTCCATCTCTCTGTCCCTTTCGTTACTCTCTTCGTCGTCGTCGTTGTTAGTGTCGCCCTGCACTTACCTGACAGCGCGCACATGTCCTGGAGCGCGCGCGGGACGACGACAACGACAACGACGACGACGACCATCTTGCGAACATGTGATCCCCAAAACAGTTTTGACCTTCATTTGTTTCTCCCTCTCCCTTGTACCCGCCCGCCAAGCCTAGGAACCGCCCCATTTAGGGGGGTTCTCTTTTCATACCAGCTCTTCGGAGAAGCATTCAACAGTGCACTCTGTATGCGCACCGCGCTGCCATGGCCGTAATTCGAGCGAACACGCCGGCGGGCAACTCACCAACTTGATTGAACTTCGAGGAAGTCTCGGGCGAGAGCGCCGTTCCTCAGTTTCGGGGCCTCTCTTTTGCCAGGGAATTGTAAATCGTGAGGGTGAATCGAGCGAGAGCCGTTGCCGTAGCAGATGGGCCGTTACGAATTTGATTGAGTTGCAAGGAAGTTTCAGGCGAGGGCGCCATTCTTTGAT